TGGGGGATTGAACCATGGTCCCTGTGCTTTTTTTGCTAAGCTTGTTCTAAGTAGGTGCTTTAGACCACTGAGCCATCTCACCAGCCCCAAGCTTAGCAAATTTAAGTACTTTGGCCCAGCTGAAGCTCCTAAACCTCCTGAACCCAACGAAGAGGACCACCTCCAAAGTGAGCTATTTCAAGAGCTCCTTTTCTTTACAAACAGCAACTACAACCCCAATTCCAATCATCTAGACTTACAACCAAAAGGGCCTACATGCTCTGTGGTACCCTTCAATTTGGAAGCCAGGCAAGGGCAGGGAGGGACAGAAATGGGAAAGCTCAAGTTCAGTGCTTGTGTAGCCTTAAAACTTGACATAAGATGTGCTTCTGGTAGGGGCTATCTAGGAGCAGGAATGAAGGCTTCCAAACACACCCCTATATGGAATCAGAAGATAGCCTACAGTTCAGAAGAAAAATTTTTTTTGGGGGGGACGAGGGGATGTATTTAGTACATGGTCTACAGGGTCTCACCACACAGACTGGACTCGCAGTGATCCTTTTGTTTTCCGCCTCCCAAGTGCTGGGATTATAGGCACTCACCACCATGCCCAGTCTCAATAGCTGTCTCAGTGGGCCCCAAGGGTCCCCAGAAAGATTTTAGACAGATCTTTGTTCAGGGCATTTAGCTCAAGTAGAGAACTAGGCATGGCTAATAAGAAGTCCCACGAGCAAAAAGATAATACCCTAACAAACTCCACAAACTCTAAGGCCCAGATCTGAAGCCAAATGAGATAAAAACTGAGAAATTACACTACAATAGTTGAAATCAATTAAGAAGGCAACATTAAATATCTCATCAATAACAAATTTGTATTTTTACATAAGAAAGTAAATTAAAAAACACTTACTTCTTTGTCAGTTTTTAACAAACTCTCATTACCAGCCACTGAAGTGGTACCTAACGCCTGCCCAAGAGGACGGACCACTGCATTTGCTACTTCTCGCCCAACACTCTCTGGATAGCTATGCAGCACACTGGTATGGCCTTGATCATTCTGAATCACCAAATGCAGTGATCTCCACTCCGAGTACATTGTGCCACTAAAGTACTATCCAAACAGCACCTGAAAAGAGAAAAGACAAAAGTTAAGTTACAGAAAACACAGATTTACCTTAGATTGCAAGATAAGACAGACTACAGGGCCGGGGGTGTAGCTCAGTGGCACAGTGCCCTGAGTTCATTTCTTGGTACAAAAAAGAAAGGGAGGGGCCGCGGAGATGGCTCAGTGGAATAAGCACTTCCCTGGCAAGCACAAGGGCCTGAGTTCAATCCCTGGTTCC